CTACAAAGACAAAATGGGAAGGAACGTAGAGGAATACGTAGACGAAGTTTTAGTCAAGACCAAGAAGGCTAGCGACCACCTATCCTACTTGCGCAAGACCTTCGAGAATCTACGAAGGAAAAGCCTGAGGCTCAACCCACTCAAGTGTGTCTTTGGAGCCGAAGCGGGAAAGTTCCTAGGATTCATAATTACAAAGAGGGGCATTGAAGCAAACCCAAAGCAAATCGAGGCCATTCTCAGCTTAAAACTTCCCAAGTTGATCAAGGAGATCCAAGCGTTCAACGGCAAAATGGCCGCACTCGGAAGGTTGATCCCGCGGTCCCCACCAGTCTTGAGCGCCCCCATTCCCGGTGAGCGCCTTTACCTTTACCTAGTCGTGTCCGAACAGTCCGTAAGGTCGGTTCTGGTGAGAAGATCGTAAGACGAAGCCGACAAACCCGTCTACTATGTGAGCAAGGCACTCCTTCCAGCTGAAACGAGGTACATGCCGGTTGAAAAGGTTGTTCTCGCCGTGGCCTCCGCAGCCAGGAAACTAAGGCCATATTTCCAAGGGCACCCCATCATGGTGTTGTCCAACCTCCCACTCAAGAGTATTATGTGAGGAATGGACGCCTCAGGCAGGCTGACTAAGTGGGCGATCGAGCTTAGCGAATACGACATCGAGTACGCCCTGAGACCGACTATCAAGCGTGAAATCCTGACGGATTTCATCACCGAAGGATTCTCCCTCGCAACCACTCCTTCATAGAAACGTGGTCAAGTCTGGTGCCTATTCACCGACTGATCCGCGGGCAAAACCTCCTTAGGGACATGAATAGTCATAGAGTCACCAGACGGAATCGTCCACGAAATCTTGCTCAGATTCAAAGACATCAAGACCAACAACGTCACTGAATATGAAGCACTCATCAATGGGTTCAGGATACTCTCCAGTTTGGGTGCGTCCGACGTGCATATTTTCTCCGAATCCCTCTTGGTGGTGAAGCAAGTGCATGAGGTGTTCAAATCAAAGACGAAACGCTAGCCATGCTAGCTAACAAAGCCAGAAGCGCCCTGGCACAACTAAGCACATGGAAGCTTGAACATGTCCGACGGGACGACAATCAACACGCCAATGCGCTATCCAAACTAGCGACCGCCATGGACTTCGAGGGGGATTGGCACGTCAGCGTCACAAAAGAGAGCGACCACTCTGATGAAGTCATGAACATCGGGGAAGCCTCAGACTGGAAGATGTCTTTGTTCTAGTATTTGGAACACGACATTGCTCAACATCATCCAGTCGAGCGGAAGGCGCTTGATAGACCATTGATTGCACATGTTTATACCTCCATTCTTGAGCCGTTTGAGAGTCGATTCTCGTGTTTTAAGCCGATTTCACGCTAGGTTGTGTGCTTTTGTCATATTTCAGGACTTGGCGTTGACGTGAAGGCGAGGAAACGAGTTTCGGGTCATAAAGGAGGACACTTGAGTGAAAGGCGCTGGAAGAGGAAAATACACGGCCAGGAGTTAAAAATACTCGGCCGGGGAAAAGTGTTTTGGACGCCAAATTGGCAGAAGGGGTCCTGGCCGGTGAGCTAAAATACCCGATCGGGTATTCCGGACCTCGATCGGGTATTAACCCCCTAGCTGCTGCTGTGCATTTTGAAATCCCCGGCCGGGCACCTGAAATACCCGACCGGGTATTATGGCCGGGGATCGCGACCTGCTGATTTTTAAGAGAAAGAAGACCAATTTTTGAAGGGTTCCGAGTTTCAGAGACAGAAAGCAGATGCCTAGAGAGAGAGAGAGAGTGACGAACCAGAATCTCCAAGCGCCCTGGATCGATCTTCATCACCATTGGAGCTCGACTTAAGCTTGGAGAAGTGCCGATTGATTGCCAGAAGCAGAATCTCGTCCTTCAAAGCATGGTTTCTGCATCTAAGCTAGATTTCCCTTCTCTCTCTATGGAGTAAACTCTCTCACTCACCTGGGTATGAAGAACCCTAGATTTGTATGTCAGTTCTGATTGTATAAACCCAAGTACGAATTCATTGATGTTGATTATATTCAATTGAGGTTTTATTTCCTGAATGGCATGAATCCTTATCAAATTCCTATTATTTCTGCTTTGACCTAGAAAGAGAATATCTGCCTAGGTTGATAAAGCACCCTTGATTGAAAGTAGTGAATTGACGACTTTAGTCGAGGAGACAATTCATTATTCGGTACTCGATTTACTCCGGTAGAGGAGGTTTGGTTCGTTAGGGTCTCAATCTATTTACTCCGGTGGAGGCTAGTCGTCCGCTGGGGACTCAGATTGAAAGGGTCTGGAGACCTTTAGTCGAGACTGCAGATTGTTTAAGAACCTCCCGCGGTATAACTATCATTGAACTTGAACTTGGTGAATTACAACCTGACTTAACTGCAGCCTAGGGGGAACCATATCTGGGTGACCTCTCTCAACTTTGAACACAACTTTCACTGCTTTTGCTTGCTAGTTTAGTTAAACCTTCACTACACTTGAAACGCTAAATAATAAGATTTTCACGGAGTAGTCATCACACCTAGGACCCGGGTTAACATTTATAACTAAACCCGCTATACTACGGATTAGTAGGTGGTTACACTTAGCCACTTTCTAGTGTGACGGTAGAGGCGTGTCAGCGCTCAAACGGAGGGGTCGTCTGGTACACCATAGTGGATGGCCAGCTATGCAAGCGATCGTTCTCCGGAGCTTACCTGAAGTGCGTCGGACCGAAGGAGGCACAATGGACACTAAGAGCGATACACAACGGGACATGCACCACACATGCGGCCCCCCGATCGCTTGATAGGACAATCCTCCTACAAGGTTACTACTGGCCAACGATCAAGCAAGACGCGTCAGTATCCTGCAATCGATTATCACCGACCATGGCATGCAATTCAACTGTCGGTCGTTTGAAAACTTTTGTGCAAGAAATCGCATCATGTGCACCATGGCATTAGTGGCATACCCACAATCCTCATACAAGGTTAATACTGGAACAACTATACATGGTAGAGTCGTGGCAAGACACAGCCTTGGAACAAATCGTAAGTGAAAAAGCGAAAGAAGCCTCCTCCTACAACAAAAAGGTGAAACCTCGGCCCCTCGAGGAAGGAGACACGGTCCTCAAGCGTGATTTTCAGAAGAAGGACGAGCAAGGCAAGCTCGCTACTACTTGGGAGGGCCCATTCCTCATCGGCAAAAAAGGGTCCCAACACCTTTTTTCTCGCAACCATGGAAGACGTCTCAGTCTCCAAAACGTGGAACGATATGCATTTGAGAAAGTACTACTCGGACGTGGTCTGAAGTACTTAATGTCATAGCAAGGATATTTTGAAAGGCCAAGGTAACACACCGGCTCCTTGTAATAGTGTATTGGCCGCTACCATAGCAATCGCTTTTGCCCAAGTAATACACTTACCTTTTTTTGGCCAAATTCTCAACCTCTCAATAGTTCACAAGTTCGTTCGTTCCTACGGTACAAACATACTTAGGTCATATGCACGAAGGTCCACAAAACCGCGCTTTGCGACTCAAAGAGGTAGCTAGCCTCAGGACAACTCAATCGTTCCTAATATGATTCTATAGTGCTCACCGCTCACCCAAACAATGAGACACGGTCCTGCAACACTAAATAAATCCACTCCGACAACATAGCTAGGAAATCGTTCACCGAAACAACACAACACATGCTCCCAAGAGATAGTTGTTTTCAATTCCAAAATTACAAACACTGGCAGAAATAAAAGCACGAAGAACCTCAGGCATCCTGAGAACCTTCAACATTTTCCAAGCACGAGATACCAAGAAAGCGACATAAAGCGGTTTTCATACTTCAAATAACAAGAACCAGTTCTAACTGGGCAACGAGAAAATCATTCAAAATCAAGGGATGCCCAATGCTCCCAAAAGATCATAGTTCAGTGTCACAAGTCACAACACAAAAATAAACACAAAATCTCTCAAAGGTCGTGGTGGACCGCCATCGCCATCTCCACCCTCATCCTGGGAAGCCGCCTCGCCCTCTTCCTCGTCATCATTCTCCGAGTTCACATCCAAGTCGATCCAAGAACCAATCGCGTCCCAGATGTCTTCGGTGTTCCAAACCGTCTCTTGTTGCTCGTCATGAAACCAATTTCGGATGGCGGCCACCGCATTACCGACAATGGTTTTGTACTTCTCATTGTCTAAAGTTTGGAACTCACGCGACTTCAGGTAGGCTAGACCAGCTTTAGCACGAGCGGCCGCCAGTTCTGCCTGGCGACTCTCCTGCAAAATTGCCTTCTCCAGCTTAACGGCGTCCACTTCCTTATGGAGCGACTCCTGCTCCTCCAGTAACGCTCTCTCCAGCTCTCCTAACTTTCGCACCCGCTCTTGCATCAAATCCCGCTCAACACGAGCCACCCTAACCACCTCCCTCTCGGACATTAAGTCCCGCTCCTTCTGGGTCAACCGCTCCTCGAAATCCCACTCCAACTGCGACCGCACTTCTTCCATTAGTGCCTCTCGCCCTTCACTCAAACTCTTCTTCAGCTTGGCAATCTCGACTACGTTGTAATAAATGGTCTTAGACAGGTTGTCATTGAGCATAAGGATTTGAGAGAATCCAATCTGGGCCCGAAAACACCAGAATGAGTACAATAGCAAGAAAATTTCAACGATCACGAAAAATCAACACAAACATACGTACCGCGAAGAAGAACTAAGTAGTGGTCCCCGCCAGGCGCCTATTATTGCCACTCGACGAAGCAGTATACTTTGGCGCCATAACAAGCTGATCGCTGATGGTGTGAAACGCAAGCTCAGCAACTTCACCATCAATAGCAGCTTGAGGGGGCAATTCAATCTAAATCAGCTTGCCAGGCGTATTCACGACCTTACCACGTCCCTCTGTCACCTTGGAGCGTGGAGAACTAGTCTTTGTCCGCTTAGCCATCACAACCAGGACACTCTGATCCATCAGCCTCTTGCTCGCCCGACGATAGCCGCACTAGACAAAGCCGTGTCTTGTAGGAGCTAGGAAACATGCAACGAGGTCCCCGCAACCGCAGTCGAGGACGGCCGCCCCGCGGTTCACTCGGCTTCCAATCGCCTTTTTCTTCTTCTTCGGTCTAACCGCATCGGCCAGCGTCTTCAAACCTGGAAGAATCAAGCATAACTAAAATCACATGAGAAAGTGGAAGCACCAAAACTAAGGAAATATTCTACTAACCATAAAAATCGCGCACAAGCTGATATGCGCTCCCGTAACCACTAGGGAACACACGAAACTGAACTCCTTCAATGATGCAGTTAACATGATCCCTCACCGACTGAGGAAACTGATTTGATGAACACCAGGCATCTTTCGACCCAGCAGCATACCTAGTCAGAGGTGCGGTCTCAACCGAATACCACTGGCCAGACGGACGCGCAAAGTAATACTCCCTATACCAAGGCGAGTCCAACTTTGGCGACCCTGTAATTAAGGCGACGGCATTCTCCCGCCACCCAATAGACCAACATTTGGTCGAATCTCGGATATTATAAATTAACCGGAAAGCATCAAAAGAGGGCAAGGGAAACCGCAACCCCAGCTTCACATACTCCACGTGAATGGGGATCCAACCATCCGGGCACGACCCCGATCTGCTCTCCTCGGATGGAGCCGCATACTCCCACTCTGGAGGTAGACCCAGTACCTTCAAACGATGATGCCAAGGCCTCAAGGCTGCTTCATACTCCGGACCGCACTCAAATACTTCTGGGGGAACTGGTTGTCCATCCCACATACCCTCATCTCGAAGGATGGTATAAGTAGAATCCTCAATGGGCAACCGAGATATCCCCCCCCCCCCCTTCGACTCAACCACCTCCAGGGAGGATGAAGTACTAGGAACTGCCTCCGAGCGTACTCCATCACTACTAACTGCATCATCATCATCCAATGAACCGCTATATAATTCTATTGTCCCCAACCGCGGACGAAGTTGCCACAACCCCAATTGGTATAGGGCGGATGTTAGCAAAAAGATTTTCTAAGCCCAAAGTGTCCCCAAAAAGACAATCGTCTAATTCAGAACCGCTCCCAAAGTACAAGTCAAAACCAGATAGGTCCCGCACCCACTCAGAAACGCTTCGAGCGGGGGTAGAAAAAATTATAGCTTGCGTAGTAGGGGCAAAACTCCCAGTGGTCGCCGCCGGTTTCTTACCAACAGCGAAGGGGGACGACTTCACTACCGGGGTCAAGGATTCCTTCCCTGTGGCAGGAAAGGGTGACGGGGCAGTCGCCGAGATCACGACGGAGGCAGGGTTCACCGTCGAAGCCGAGTCGCCAGCTGGCGCTCCTTCCAAGGCAGCAGTGGCTCTCCCCACCTTGCCGACCGAAGGACTTCGTTCGGCTCTCTACATCTGCGCCAAGGGAGTAAATCTCACGAAGTCCGAAACACAAGAACGGCGGCGGTGTTTCAATAACGAAAGAAGAAGCACAAAAGCTAAAAAGAAGAGGAGGTCGCACTATATAAAGCAAACTCAGTAAAAGGATTAAGCTTACCGGAAAACGGTTCAGACTTTATAGCAAAATCGCCAGGAAACAAAGCCTCTGAATCGCGCCAACGAAAAAGAAGAAGGAAGAAGACAAGGGTTTCTCGCAAATAGAAGCAAAATTGGCGGACAATAGGGCTCACAAGTCCGCTTATAGTAAAAATTTGAAAACCAAAAAGGCAGAGGTGACGTTCCGCCTGGCTCTGACAAGGCACAACGACGGAGACACGACACATGGCATCGATAAGAGAAGGGGCAGGATGCGTCGCGTCCTGACCGCCCCAAAGACCTTCCCGCATCAAGCCATCACGGCCAGGGGAAGACAGGTAACCATGGACCGCACGATACACGACCGCTCAAGAGTAATGACCAAGATAGCTGCAAAAACCTAATGCTTCTCACGATAAGGGGCAAATGTTGGGCCAAGTATTGGAATACAACGTCCCTAAGGCCCATGGTTACAAAGCCCACAAAGAAGCATACTAAACCGTGGCGGTCTCACATCGACACCAGGAGGAGACCGCCCGACAATTGTGCGCAGACACACTGACTAGCGCTCTTCTGATCTCTTCTGGACAGAGAAAGTCAGACATCCGTACTGACACTGCATTTAATGTGTCCAGAAGCGTCCCAGGACGCCTGACAGGACATTAAATACCTAAGCCCAGCCCAGAGTTAGTATAAATAGCCCCAAGGGAGCATCATTTATGGTAACTTTTACCCACTCCATTCTCTCTCTTCTCTATAACATATTCACTTCTCTCTCTAACTTTGGTATAGGAGTAGGTCCCAGGATCCTGCTAAGGACCTTTTGTGCAGGGTTTCGGAGACCGCCCCATACTATCGAAAGTCGCACGAGGCCGATGAAGTCTCACAAAACCGCCTGGTACGATCCAGGCACAAACAATACCTAACTTTGAGGGTTCTTGCCATAAGTGAATGAGGTCTAGTATGTATGTTCCATAACTGCTTAGCCAACATAGCATTGTTGAAAGCCCTCAAGTCGCGAAAAAATGAGTCCATCTTTTTTCCGTTTCAATACATAGTTTCTCCCAACTCAGCCAAGGAATTTTTTTTATCTCCCCTCTGTCTCCGCCAAAAACCGTTGATCGGACCTTGGATGTCCTAGAGGATATCTCTGAAATCTGAAAAACATACATCGGGTTATTATTTGGGATTGAGCCACCGTCTTTATAAGAATTTTCTTAACTGCAATTGATATGAACCTTCATTGGCTTCTTTCTGACCCTCTCTTTCAAATTCCCAAAGATAATTTTTATTTTCCAACAATAGTAGGGAGATAATTGGAGAACTAAACTTTTAGTTCTCTAAGAGAGCATATGAAAGATAATTGGATAGTAGTATGCCTGTGTAGTGTCATCATATGGTTGTTGTCTATCGAGGATGAACTGGGCTACTCTCACGAAGTGAACTGGACGCTGGCGCGCAAGTATAATAACCTTAAGTTGCTTCACGTTCTCTACATCCATAACTAGTGTTAGGCTCTATATTGTCAAGTGAAGATGTGAAACAATTGAAAATTTTTGGTGTATTTTATCATCAACATGAATGGAGCAAGGTCGTCTGATTTAGTTTTCCTTTCCCTTTTTTACAATATACAACTTTTGTAAATATGTTTTTGTTTTAGCATGGGTTGTCGGATATCACATCAATCGTCCGTTTAGTGGGGATATAACGTGAATAAATGATTGATGAAACATAATTGATTTGGGCCCAAATGTACACATTTTACACTTCATTTCTTACTCATTTAGCTTAGTAGATCATTGTTCCTTGACATATTTCACGCTACATTGTGCTTGTTTTGATACATTTCAAGTCTTAGCACGTGTGGAAGGGTCGAGGACGAGTTTTGGGATAATTGGAGGTCAAAACCCGTAGAAAAGTACGAAGCCACTATTTAACACTGAAGTGCAGGCGTCCAGGAAGCAGCTGCAGTTCACGGTCAAACAAGGGAGTTCACGGTCTCCTAAGACCGTGAAATGGAGCCACAAACCATGAACATCGAGCAGTCCAGCGAGGTTTCAGAGGTTACTAGCGCTAAGGGAGTTCACGGTCGCTAAGACCGTGAATTGAGGCCAATGACCGTGAACAACAGAAGCGAAGTGGTGCGTTTTGAAGATGACACTAAGTTCACGGACGCGTTTTGTAACATCCCATTCCGGCAAAACCCATATTTCGATCGCTAGAAAGTTCGCGATTTAAAATCGAGCGTTTTAACAATATTTCAGCGAAAATCGGATTATCGATCGATCGGATAAGTATACGTATTAATTATATATATATATATATTAATTAAGCGGCCGGGCATATATATATAAACCCTTCCCCCGTCCCTTTTAATTCTCATCATCATCAACTTTTCCATTTCCCCACCGAGAGGAAACCGAGAGCACAGCGAGCCGAGCAGAGCGAACAGGGGAGCTCGGGAGAAATTCCAAAGCTCAAATTCTTGAGCCCTAGTGATCCAAAAATCCCGTAAGTAATTCCTAATTCATCCATACATCGTGATTTATCGATTTAGAGCTTTAAAACGAGTTTTTGGTTCAGGAATTTCTTGAATTCCCGATAAGCCAAATTAGGGTTTCGGAGTATCCGGAAGCCGGATTGAGCCCAAATTTCATATACGAGCTTCCTGCAGGGATGTAATCAATCATCTAGTTCTAATCCCTGAATTTCAGCTATTATTTAGGTCGGAGCCGGAACCCCTGGATTTAGCTCCGGCTAGGGTTTGATGTGTTTTTATCAAGAATTTCACCCGGAGCCTAGAACTAATATTGACGGGGATACTGCAGGGGATATTAGGACGGTCTCGGATTTTAATTCGGGGTTTGTTCGTGAAATTGACGTTTTAGTACGGGAAGGTTAAACCGGTGTTTGAACGACCAAAACTGGTGAGGGATTAGCACGGCATACCGGGTTTGTCGTATCACGATAATTATATTGATGCTTAGAATTGACCTAGGTGAACTAGAATGGCATGATTAGGGGTGTATGGACTTTTGTGCTATATGTTGAACCCTGGATTGCTGTATGATATTATTGACTTACCCTAATCGATATGAACCTTGTTTATGCTGATGATTGTGTATATGTTGCAAATTGTGGGATTGACGGTTAATATGCTTTACGATGGTTCGAGAAGGTGATTAGGTATGATTTTTCATGATTGTTGTAATTGGATGCACAACTGGGAAAATATATATTCCCTGGTGATATTATGATTTTTAAGGAGGATGACTTGCACGAGGGTTTATCCCGAGGAAGTGCAATTATACGACTCCTGATTTACCTATGTTGAGCCAATTGTGGCCTGGTCAAGTACATGTGCAAGTAATGAATTATGATTTAGCAAGATGAGATATGAATCATGTATAAGGATACCAAATATGAGTGTTGTGGTCTCACGGTCAACTACATAGTAATTAGGGCTCCCTATGCTATTACTCTATTATGATATGTATGATAGTCACACCTCTCATGTGGTGGTGACTGAAGAATTCTTACGAGATATGACCACACCCAGAGCGGTGTCGGGGTATGACTACACCCATAGTGGTGTGGGGTATGTATGACCACATCCGACGGGATGTTGGGGTATGTATGACTACATCCGACGGGATGCGGGGTATGTTTCCCGGGAGAGTTATTAGCATGGGAGTAGCCAGGCGCCTATAAGTAAATCATGATAAGATGCATATGCATAAGTCAAGGTGGTTGAGTCTTTTGCCTATTGGGATGTCGGAGAGCTGAGATATGATCTCAGTGCTTTGGCTTGTTTGCTAGATGTATGGTAGGGGTATGCTCTGTTATGAACTCACGATGCTATGATTATCTCACTCAGCTATGAGCTGACCCTCTTTTATTCTTCTTCTCTGCTTATGCTATGTGTAAGCATATCATCAGCAGCAGCAGTAGATAAGTGTTAGGTGGGAGAGGAGCTAGAGTTGAAGCCAAGATGAGGTATGGTCTTCAACTATTCTGTGCTTGGACGACTACTTGGGATTTTGGCCAGTGATCCACACCTTTTTGTAAAAATGTTTTGAGAACATTTTCATGTGCATACTAGCTTCGAATGTAGTGTGAGATATCCACAGGTGTGGAAAGTTGATGATATGTGTATATTTTTGTAATTGTGTAAGTTATGACGATTATGGCTTGTATTAGTATGGTATGCAGTTGTGTAGTATGAAACTGTGACTATGGCTATGAAAGCCAATGCTTATGGTTGTGAGTATATATGTTTGTGATGAATTATTTTGCAGGATAAGTTGCAAGAACTGTTAGCCCATTACGCGAGTAATTCATGTCGAAATTTTATTTGGGTAAATTTTGATAATTAATGTAACACCCAAGTTTGATTCCGCTGCAATTGTATGAACAATATGATTAGGCAAATCGTATAGGGTAGGGTGTTACACGTTTAAGTGTTCACGGCCGTGAACTCGCCAACGGGTCCGTGAACTGGTCACTTTCGGGCAAATATGAAGACAGCAGCGGGGAGAGAGAAGGAGAGCTGGTTTTTGGAGAGAAATTCAATTCCCTCTCTAGGGTTTGCCCAACAACACAAAAGGGGAGTTCTAGTGAGTGAGAGAGAGAGTGCTAGAGTGATCTTGGAGCATCATTGGAGGCTTGGGTGGATCTTGAAGACAAGGATTCAAGCCTAGAAGAAGAAGAAGAAGAAGATCTTGAGCTCAAATTTGTAATCTCTCTCTTCTCTCTCTAGAAACTCACTCTTTTCTCTTGGTTGTTGTAGATCCCTAACTAATACTTTGTAGTTACTTGTTTAGATTGAATGATTTTGTATGGGTTTGCATCAATTTGAGTATTAGAAGTATTTCATGGTGATTGTGCTTAGTTGTGTTTTCCAAATCTTGTGTGCTTGCCTAACCTAGATTAGAGGAAAACCACACCTTTTTAGGTAGACTTGACAAGCTTGGTTTTCCTGGGCACTTTGTGCCTACTATCTAGGTTAGAGATGAGCATCCCCTTGATTGAAGTTTGCATCTAGGTTGGTTGTGATTAAACCGCTCAAACTCCGGTTTGAGGGAGAGACTAGGCAACCCCTAGAGACAGAGTGAAAGGATCGATTCCGTGACAAATCGATCTCTAGTGAATCCATCCCGTGACAAGTAGATCACTAGTTGCTCCTCCTAGCGGTTCCCCTAGACTTGGTGAGTGGATCGATCCCGTGACAAATCGATCACTAGTGAATTGATTCTGTGACAAATCGATCACTAGTTGCTCACCCCCGCAGTTCACAACCACCTACACCACGCGACTCCATTCAATCCAGTGAGTCATGGTAGCTAGTTAAGGGGAAGCAACTCCTGGGTGAAGCTCCCTTAGTTAGAATTTTCCTTTATTTACTTTCCTTGCTTGTTTTCATTTGTAGTTTTTATAGTTTTAAACCCAAAACCGTTTTGTTAGATAACAGCTTAAGCGATTGAAGTAGGTACATAGACCGGCTTGACAATTTAAATACTTGCCCTATACTGCACCCGACTAGAGTTTAAAAACTTGAGCTCTAGTTGGAATTAATGTGTGGTGTGGTTTTGTGGGAGTCAATAATCAAAATTAAAAGGAATTGATGAAGATTGTTAACCAACGTTGTCGTCTTCCTTCCCCATGCTCAATTCACCATCTCCTCCCTCCTTTGTCAATTTTTATCTTACCAGGCGGATCATCACATTGTTGTTCAATGTTCAGCCCCAAATTTTAACACCAGTATTGCATCTCCGTTGATCACGCGCCCCCAATCTCAGTTCAGGCTTACGGCTAGGTGTGGATGGTGTTTGTTCTCCAACGCACGTTGGTGTCGGTATAGTGGGTTTTGAAGGTGGCTTCCCGTTGTTTGCCTTTGTATGCTCTCAACCGACTTAGGATAGGGTCAGTAACCAATGATTACTAACCTATGAGTAACTAAATTTGGACCTTTAGATTTAAGTGGGTCCAGAAAATTCAGATCTAAGGGTTGTCAATTAAAGGTATTTTATTTTCCCTAGTTTTCTTAATTGGCTCTTATCTTCTTCATTCTAACTCGGATTTCAATTTTTTTTGCACAGATGGAACGAGTTTGTTGTGCTCTACAAAATGACATCAATTTTTTTTCGGTAATTAGTGGTTTCCATTAATGCTCACTCAATGCAAACAGCATGAGTCGAAAAAATACAGGGCAGCAAAATAACTGCCAACAGAAACTCCCTCGGAAGATAAAAGCTATTGGGGAGAGATAATCCTATACAGCTCTGGAATTCTCTGAATTAAAGACTGAAACTCTATGTTACCATTGCTAAACAAACACATTTCTTCCCGTGTAAGCGAGGCCAGCAACTCAGGTTGTTTCGTAACAGTTCCAAAAACCCTGTTGCAACGTTCGCGCCAAATGGATGCAGTAGTCCAGCACCAAATGGAACACTCCAGCACACTCCTGTTGTCATTTGTAGCAGCCTTGCTCGACATTACCAGCATCATATCGTCCCACTTTGGAGGCAGGTGAATAGTAGTTCTGAATAGAGAGGAGAGATAGTCCAAAGTAAAGGTGCACTCACAAAATAAGTGTTCCCTCGACTCGCTGGATGAGCTGCAGAGAGGGCAGCTATCATCCACAGTAACACCCCACGCTTTAAGCTTGTCTTTCGTGGGAATGCGATTAATAATAATGAGCCAAGCCAAAATTCTGCATCTAGGGAGAGTAAACTTGCCCCATACAATCTTCCACCAGGTCACACATGGTTGCCTGGAACGCAGAGTATTCCAAACAGTAGACACAGAGAATCGAATCATCTTTTTCCCAATCCAAGTAACGTCCCCATCACTATCCAAACCCATTCTGAATTGCAGCCAGGACCTAACTTTGAGAACTTGTTTCCAGATCCAGGATCCAGCAGCCGTTCGTTTGACTTCCCAGACTGAAGAGCCTCGAAGACGGTAACGAGTAATCCAAGCCACCCAGAAACTGCCCCCCTGCATAAGAATGAGCCAAAGAAGTCTAGCAACACAGGCGACATTCCATGAAACTAAGTCTTTCAAACCCAGTCCACCCTCCCTCTTTGGCAGGGCAATGTGCTCCCACGCAACCTTAGCCTTCCCTGTCTTGTCACCGTGCCAAAGAAAGTCAGAGCAAGCCTTCTGTACTGCTTTAATAACTTTTTTAGGAATAATGAAAACCGCCATCCAGTAGTGAATCAGTGAGTACAGAACTGATTCAATGAGCTGGAGTCTTCCTCCATAAGATAAAGTACAAGCCCGCCAACTACGAATTCTCTTAGTCAATTTATCCACAAGCAGCGCACAGTCAAGACTAGAAAGTTTACCTGAGGTAAGAGGTAGACCCAGATAACGAACTGGGAGATGCCCTTCTCTGAATCCAGAAACATGTAATGCAATAGATTTATACTGGTGTGACTGGCCGCCAAAGAAGACTTCACATTTGTCGGGGTTGCATTGCAGCCCCGAGAGATGATGAAATTTGTCTAAGATCAAACGAACTCCAGACAAAGCCCGTGCCGAACCTTCAGTGAAAATCAGAAGGTCGTCGGCAAAGCAGAGATGGGAAAGGTTAACTTTCTTACACCTGGGGTGAAAAGGAATCGTCCCAGAAGCAGCAGCTCGATTCAAGATACCCGATAGAGGCTCCATTGCAATAGTGAACAGGTAGGGGGAAAGAGGATCCCCCTGCCTTACACCTTTTGCAGATTGAAAAAACGCAAAAAGGCTGCCATGAATTGATACACTGAAGAAGGCTGAATTCAAACAAACTAGGATCCACTCAATAAAATCTCGCGGGAATCCCATGAGAACCATGACGCAAGAGAGATATCCCCAGTGAACAGAATCGAAGGCCTTCTTGAGGTCTATCTTAACTGCACATCTGGAAGAAACTTGCATTCTATGGTAGTTCTGGACAACTTCCTGGGCCATTAAAATGTTTTCTAGAATACTACGTCCCTGAATGAATGCTGACTGATTTCTGCTAATAATTGAAGGGAGTACAGTTCTGATCCTATTAGCCAACACCTTAGCAACAATTTTATATAAAATGTTGATACAAGCAATTGGTCTAAAGGATCCCATACTATCTGCATTAGGGATCTTGGGTACTAATGTAAGAGAGGCTGAGTTCATACCTCTCGGGAGAACTTTGTACTGAAAGAAATGCTTGACCCCCTCAACAATATCCTCATTAACCAGTTCCCAGTTCCTTTGAAAAAATCCTGCTGAATGACATCAATTTTCAATATATTTCGAGAAACTTAATTTTTTACCAACTACATACCATATGGTAACTTCTTCGTTTTTAAGTCGTTTTTGAAAACGTTTGCTCAGAAAGAACGAGTTCAACATGATCTATTGGATCTATAAATTTCTGGGTGAAAAAAATACTGAATAAAAAATTACCATACTTTACCACTATGTTATGTGATTGGTAACTTGTGGTAACTTGTAGTAAACAATGATGAAAGTCGTAAATGACAGTTAATATACTCCTACTATCATGTATTCAACCTTCTTACCATATTGGTATGTTCATACCATCATGGTACGCTTTCTTACCATATGGTATTAAATTGGAGCATACCATATGGTAATGACTGGTAAAAAATTATTCAATTTTTTTTGTACTAAAAATATATCAAAGTGGATATCATTTTGAAAAACATATTTAATCTAATTTATCTGTGCAAAAAAAAAAATTTGACTTAAAACGAGAGAAAAATCGTCCATTAAAGATTAAAGGGGAAAAGATAAAAGACTTTCTAGGAGAGAGAGACTACTGATGTCATGCTGATTGGTATGTCGTAAACAAGGATGAAAGTCGTAAATGACAGTTAATATACTCCTACTATCATGTATTCAACCTTCTTACCATATTGGTATGTTCATACCATCATGGTACGCTTTCTTACCATATGGTATGTTCTTACCATATGGTATTAAATTGGAGCATACCATATGGTAATGACTGGTAAAAAATTATTTAATATTTTTTTGTACTAAAAATATATCAGTGTGGATATCATTTTAAAGAACATATTTAATATGATTTATCTGTGCAAAAAAAAAATTCGACTTAAAACGAGAGAGAAATCGTCCGTTAAAAATTAAAGGAGAAAAAATAAAAAAAACTTTCTAGGAGAGAGACTATGATGTCATGCTGATGTGGACAGGTTACTCATGGTTACTGACGATAGAGTCATTGACCTGATCCGCTCCCCTCTCAACCTAGTATTGTGGATGCCTCCACTATGGAGCTTTAAGCTATTCGCCACCTCATGATTACTGACGATAAAGTTATTGATCTGATCCACTCCCCTCCCCTCTCAACCTAGTATTGTGGATGCCTCCGCTATTGAGCTTTAAGCTATTCGCCATGCCCTCACGATGATTTGCCATATATGATAGAACCGACTACCGAGTACACTAACTCTACTAGTGAGGATCACCAGACACCAATTAACAAAACTTGATTCCTTCGAGAGGAAAGTCCCGCATCTTTTCAGTTGCAGCAGAACCAGAAGCATCTTCTCCATATTACAATTTACAACCACAGAATTTCCAGAGCAATGAATTTAGAAGCAACGACAGGTGCCTCACAAATCACAATCTCGTACCATTACCACGTCTTGTCTATTACTACCGCAAGTAGCAGCAGGAAGCAAGCAAACGAAGGCCACACATTTACCCTACGACGCCATCCCCATTATTGTACCCAAAAAGTATCAGACAAGAACACGATGCTCCTCCCATGGCGAGAACTTCGGTTCCGATCACTACCGCAACAAAGAAAACAAAATAAAATAAAAATGAAAAACTTTTCCCAATTTAAATCACATAATCGGACCACTCGGCAATATGCGATGTATGGTCCATGGTGAAGCTGGGCATCTTGTCAAGCTTCGTCGGGTTCTCCTTCCCACCAATCAACCTCGCCGGATTCCCCACCGCCGTCGTCCTCGCCGGCACCTCCTTCAACACCACCGAGCACGCTCCGATCTTCGCCCCTGCCCCGACCCTAATGTTCCCCAACACGCACGTCCCGGCCCCGATCAGCACCCCGTCACCGATCTTTGGGTGCCGGTCCCCGCCCACCTTCCCGGTCCCGCCCAGCGTCACGCCGTGCAGAATCGAAACATCGTTCCCCACCTCCGCCGTCTCCCCGATCACGACCCCGGTGGCGTGATCGAGCAGCACGCCTTCCCCGATCCGCGCGCCGGGGTGGATGTCGACCCCGAAAACCTCGGAAACCCTATTCTGAATCAGGAGCGCCAGGGCCTTCCTCTGCCGCCGCCAGAGCTCATGGGCCACCCGGTGGGCCTGGATCGCGAGAAACCCTTTGAAGCCCAGGAAGCAGTGGACGTAGCTGATGCAGGCCGGGTCGCGCTCCTTCACGGCCCGCAAGTCCGCCTTCACGGCCCGAACCGCTCCCGGGTTCTCGCCCAACACCCCGGCGAAGATATCGAACAGGATTCCGATCGGGAGGCTGGAATTGCACAATTTCACGGCCAGATGATTCGCCAGCGCGCCCTCGAGCGATGTCTGCGAAAGAATCGAGGTGTAGTAGTAGCCGGAGAGAATCGGCTCCTGCTCCGCATCGAGGCTCGCCTCTTCCCGCATCTTCGCCCATAGATCCTCCACGGCCGCGGCCGTCGTCTCCTCGATTCGATCGAGGGTCGGGGATTGGGTCTGGGTCTGGAAATTTCTGACGAGAGGGCAGGGCTTGTAGAATCGGGCGTACCTGTTGTCGATGGTGTCGCGGGTGCGCTGCTGCCGGGTGCCGCCGTCGCGGCGGCCCGCTGTGGTGGAGCAAGTGTCGACGCAAGTCGCCATGGAGCGATTGGAGAGATTAGGGATTTCCGCGGCGGATGTGGGTTGGGATTTGGAGTGGAGAAAAAGAGGGGAGGTGGAGGAGGATTTATATAGAGGGAGCTGGGCGGTGGTGACCAGAAGTTTCATTGGGAAATGAGAGAGTTTCTTGGGGAAGCCGTTTTGATTCCGGATTAAACTGGTAAACTTCATATCCTTAAGAAATACAGATATTTTTTTGGTGAGGGAGGGTTGAGTGCTAAGCTGAGCTTGTGTTATGAATCGACCGTCGTTGATTATATAGAAAGAGCAGAGCAGAGCGGAGCGGAGGTGGAGGAGCGAGCAGCAGTAGCAGCTCCTTCCCCAGCTCCCAAAATCAGCCACCAAACTTCAATGATTGATCCAACTGTAAGTACACGTGTTTTTTAGCCTGTTCGCGACTAGGCCTACGCCGGCATCCGGACGAAATTAGAACGGATTGAGGTTTACATCAAAATCGAATTAGATTGAAGATGTTGTGCTTTATTTTGACATGTTTGGGTTTGATTATGAGCGTAATCAAATAGCCTTGCAGACTCATTCTGACTCATTTCGTCCATTTCTATTTAGTAGATTCATAAAAAAGAATCATTTGAAAGAACAAATAAGAAATGTCTTACAACCTCTCGTAGTGGAATGGAATATTCTTTCTCATTGTTTTCCTCTAAAATACATGATGAGAGCATATGCTTTGCATTAAAGTATAGCTTACTAGGACAACTAGAAAGGCTTTGAGTTATTTTTATGTGATAAGCAAAGTAAAGTTAATCTTTTCTTTTCATTTTGTAAAGATGTTAATTGCAATATCAAATGCATCTCCTAAAAGCGATATAGATCACACGTTATAAATATAGAAGCCTGCAAAAACAAAAACATGTTGAATTTTATCGAGGCTGGTGACTTGAGCGATTGTCTAATCAACGTATATGATTGGAAATTTAGAAACTATGAATTTTTTTAATTTTATTTTGCGGGTTATAAATTTATAACCTTGTACATTCCCCAGTTTGATCTACAAAAGACAACGTAAGTATTTGGATTATGTTGGCTTGTCTGGAAGTTCTTCTGTTATGGTTTATTCAAGTAAAGTATTATACAAATCATTTGGGCAGTCAAGCTAGCAAGTAAAACCAAAAGGGGAAGAAAAGAAAAGAAACCCAATTTGCTCAAACAACACTATTGCGACGTTAGTGCTGACGCGTTAGCCCACAGATCCCTAATCTTTGACTTTGTCTCCTCCCTATCGCGGCGGCGACAATCCGTCGACGCGTTAACTGTGTTCTTTGAATGACTTTCGATTAGGGATGGTAATGGGTCGGGTTGGATCGGATTTTGTCAAACCCATTGAAAAAAACTCGGGGTAAAACCCATTGGGTTTGAAAAACTCAAACTCACTGGGTTTGAAAAACTCAAACCCAACCCGCTGGGTATTCGCGGGTTCATGGGTACCCATGGTTTTTATCGTAAAAAATTTACAATAACAAGTTCCTATCAAAATTAAAGTCAAATATCAATCTCTCAATGAAAATTATTCATATATAAAACACCATTCTAGAAAATTCAAGCAAATCACAAATTAACTATACAAATTGTTCAACACCAATCTAGAAAACTCAAGAAAATTGAAGTCAATCACAAATTATCCATAAATAACATGATTAATTGAAAGTTTCTTCCTTTCAATTAAGTTTTTTTTACTCTCCACTCGATAACATCAACTTCATTCTACACAATTAGAAAGAAAAAATTAGACATGTCTCCACAAACATAAATAGGATTAGTTGTTTAGAATATTAAATATACCGAGAAAATTAATTATATGAGTGTGGGCGGATACCCATGAGCCGGGTTTACCTAAACCCAAACCCAACTCGATGAATAATGAACGGGTTTAAACCCAAACCCGACTCAAAATCCGGCAACACGAATTTTACCCGCGTTAATTGGGTTGGGTCGGGTGGATACCCGTGGGTTCGAGTTTTGTTGCCATCCATACTTTCAATCTGCCTTTGCTCCTCCGTCGACCGGAGTATTAAGAATATACAAATATATTATAATATTATCTTGGACATCCAAATCCAATCTTCCCTTCCATTACCTCCATACACTAACTACCACGAATGGGCTTTCCGTCGAATCATAATAATTACTAAATGAACAGAGGTGACAGGGTTTTTGCGCCGGCGGCCGACGCTATCGATTGCGTATGGGGGACTGAGTGGCAATCCAGCTCCGTATCACTGACTTCTTTACGGGATTTCTTGGGCCGTCGAAGCTAAAACCTGATCACTAGGAAGCAGACGCAGCTGCTCCTTCCCTGTGGAGGTTTTTTTAGCTTATGGTCAATGGTGGATAAACAACCGGCTCTGTTTAAAAATGGTGGAATTCAGTCTGCCCGACGGAGCCATGTGCACTCCCTGGTTATATATGTACAAAATAATGCGGAGTCAATTCTGCGCCTGCACTCTTTTAGCCGATACATATACTGTGGAAAACCAGAGAAACAGTCGTGAGCCATGGCTGAGAAAATGGAGGAATATTGACGATATTTGGAGACAAGATAACATTGTCGACAATAATGACATTTGAAAAAAGCTCAACCCAAGGGATCCACTTGTATGGGTGGTATGCTGCCATTGAGACGCTTGAAAAAAAGATACCAGTCAAAAGAAAGCAAACAAGCAACTTTAATGATTCGGAAGCGTTTACGGTCCCTATCCGAGCTACCAATTTGAAACAAGAGGATGGAAAGGACAAAGGAGGAAGAAGACTCCAACTTTTCCACTCAATGCGACGGTCAGGTCGTGTCAGTCACTTTTACTACTTCACATAAGAAAAGATTATTATCATTCGCAGATGTGGTCTTTCAGAACCTTGGAGAGGCAAATCATCATAGCCACTTAGCCAGTGCCCAGTAGCAATCTCGGCAATCTGGTTTAGGCCAAACAACAAAAAGAATGGCTGGAACAAGTTCACGATTATGATAGTCTGAGTAGGTGCAACGAATGAAACAAGATACGCTAGGCAATGACAATGTTCCTATGCAGCCTCATCAAGGAGCACAGTTAGCAGCATGCCAGCACCTCCATGGCGATAGTGACCAGAGAAACGTTCTATGCCCCTATCCTTTTCCCGACCCCCTTACACAGAGTAACAAAAGAACATGTCCCGCGCCTACTATCTGTATTCTTCATACCACACAGCTAACAAAATCATTTAAGCAAAGAATCTAAAAGGGTGATTAATTGAACTAGTAGCGCGGTTTCTTACAGAACCCTGTTCACGTACTCCACCAGGTTTTGGTAGAACACCGAACTTTCATTTCCTTGCTATTTGTAGCGGTGGAAGACCTCGACGAGCTGCAATAGCAAGGTTCAATTCATTAACCACGATTCTGTTTGGACGGGTTTCAAAAACAAACATATTCCTCGACGTAACAGTATACCATAGAACCATTGGTAAAGATTCATATTCCACCAATGAAACTAGTTGAAAACTAAGGATATCAAATCAAGTCCAGCCTGTGGAATAAGAAGACCGACACAGGTGCTGCTGGATATTAATTCATGTTACAATTTGTATATTCCCCATAACTAGAGTTTCAGAAGGAAAAAAGAATGCATATTCCCAGATGAATTGTTGAGGGAATAACCAGGATGAAACAAAAAAGATTCACAACTTCAGCCCTATTAGTGGCTAGATAGAGCCTAAACATGAACTGAACAAAAGTCAAAAGTATATGCAGATATATACTTCGTGGTGAATGGGATTTGCATTCATCGTAAAGAAGAAGATAAACACATTGCGCGCACTGTTTACTTCCAGTAGTTGACAGATGAACAAATCAAGCAACATGAAGAAGGAAAAAGAATGGAAACAATCTTACCTAAATGAAGCATTGCTTTCTCATAGCTTGACCTCCACATCAACTCCAGCAGGGAGGTCAAGCTGCATAAGAGAATCGATTGTTTGAGCAGTTGGGTAGAGAATGTCGATTAGCCTCTGGTGAGTTCTAATCTCGAAGTGAAATCTTGCATCCTTGTGGACGTGAGGGGATTTTAGTACACAGTAGATACGCTTCTTTGTAGGCAACGGCACAGGACCCATGGTTTTGGCATTCGTGTTCCTTGCAGCATCCATTATCTGCTTGCAGGAATCTTCAATCAAGGGTACCCAGTATGACCTCAGTTTAATTCTGATCTTCTGCTTTGGGGCCATCTGGATAGAGGAGCAGCAACAAGAAATAAAAGATAAACGTTCAGCTATAGGAAGTAGCCGGAAAGGGAAACAATAAGAAACACAGACTCCAAATCCTTATCAGACTTCTCAAGAGCTGGGAAACTCTACACCCCTAACTGTTGGGGATCTTCAAACCAATTGGAATGCTGGTTCTGAGCTAAAACTACCGACAGTTATTTGAAGACCAATGCACAAACCAGTCTAGACAAAGTCTACACAGTTTATAAAACGAAAACTAGAGCCATTTACGTTATCAGAAGATGATCAACCAGAAGCATACATTGTCTGTATCAGTACCAATGTCGAGTGATGGAGAACCCGGAGTCTCGGAACTTGAAACCTACATCAATCAAATAAACAAGGCAACAACACAACGGGTATCAAATCTTCAATCCTCCCAAAAACTAAGGTCATGAAAGTTCAGTTGAACAAACCAGAATATCAACAACAAAAGGTAGCTACATTGAACCACAAAATGAGAACATTTAAAACAAATGTCAATCCCGAAATTCTCAAGAATTGCATAGTAATAAGATAGAACAGCAGACATTTTCACTTCCCAGCAACCAGACACAAGCTTTTGCCAAATAAAGAGAGATTCATCAATCAAAAGAGAAAGAGAGAGAAATAGACAGGAATGGACCTCATAAGTGCCGGAATCAGAGTCATCAAAGGTTTCTGAAGGTGGGTTTAGCGTTTCCTGAGAATCCAAAGCTTCAGGAGCGACAAAGGCCCGGCTTGAAGATGAACTCAGCAACGAGGGTTTCGGTGTCCTGAAGGCATAACTAAGACCGGAATTGGACGGCGTAGATAAGGGAAAGGGCAAAGACGAAAGCTTTGCTGAAGTGAGAGTTGCTTTGGAGGCGAATGAAGAAGAACTAGAGATAGTAACTGAAGAGACCAGCGAGGCAGAGATGGAGGTTGCCGCCATTTTTAACTCTTCCTCACTTCTTTGTTGCAGAGGTGGAGGCTTTGCCTGCGGGATTGAGTTATCCGAATTGTTTTCTAGATTTTCATTATTGTGAAAATAAAATAACAATAAAAATATGTAGAAGTAAAATTTGAGGAGAAAGAGCTTTGATTCTGGGCTAGATGTTAAGCCCAGTACAAGATTGTTAAACAGCTATGTCTTAATCCACTATGACTATTGATGATTAAGGACAAGTTTACTGGTAAAACTGAAGAACAATAGTCAATCAAGAGACGGTTCACAAATGTTCCAGTTTAGGAAACACTCTAGGTCAAACAAGAAAAGCGAAGAAGAAGAACAACAACAAACTGATCGCTATGCCCAGGTTGACTAGAGTTCCTGGCAACAGCCCCAACTCTAGCAATCTTAGACACTTTAAACAAGAACCCAATCCAACTCTCCCAAAGAACTGACTCGTTCTTACTGAGCAGTGGAAACCATTGCTATCTTCTTCCTCGAGGGGTCTTTAAGTAGGCTTCCGAAGGGCATCTTCGATCTCTCTCTTCTTCAATGAGTTTACCGTTGACAGATGCTTCTAAGGGGCGAATTGGAGATGACATTCATCGGGGGGAGTTGGTTCTTCTCGATGTTCTGATTGTTAGGGATTGGGAATGAAGGAGAAGACTCCTTTGGTGATCTCGACGATGACAGAGAAGGTGTTGGGCTTCAAGTGGAGAGGCTTTGGTGTGATCCGTCGAGATGACTATGGGCCTGGGCCCAACAATCTCCCCCTGCGTTCAAGCCTTCATTCCTGTCAATAGACACATTGATATCAAAGCATCGAGTGTGCAGTTTTTTTCTCAGAGTATAAGCCAGTAAGTTTCAATTTCAAATTTCCATAACATGAATGACAACGACCACAGTCAAGTTAAGGCAAACAGAGACTCTCATTAAACTTGGACCTTTATGGTCTTTTATTCTGGAATACTTATCAACCAAACCCTTACTTAGACCTTTATGGTCTTTGAACCATTCAAGAACACATCAGAACAGATAGACATCATACTTAGACCATTATGGTCTTTGGAACAGATCTAAATAAAAGACATAGAGCAAACACTACAAAAAATGACACAGAGCAGTTCAGATTTTTCTTATTTCTATGATATTCTCTTCAGAGTTAATCTTCTGGAACTGAGTTTTCTTTTGGCTCCCCCTGAGTTCCAGCCACTCCTTCCATCATATCCCTCTCAAGATCTTCAGCAAAGAGTCTGATATCTTTTTCAGACACAGTTTCAGGTTCGAGTTCAGCTTCTTCTTCTTCAAAAGAAACAATCAGGTTTTTGCGGACAGACGATGATGAATCCCCAAGTTGCAGGGATTTTGACTTGTACTTGATGAGTCTGGAAGCTGCTGGGTCAAGGGATTCTTCCCCTTTAGAAGGCTGAGGGTCAACCCCAATAAAGTTGAGGACAGTGAGGGCGGAGACAGAGACAGAAGTCTCGACAGAGGAGTATCCATCAAGGGAAAGACCAAGATTGGATAGTAAGAGAGTGATGAAGCCTCCATAAGGAAGGCGACCATCGAGGTGAGCATCAGCACTTCGAACAATAGAGCCAAAAAGGAGCTGAGAATAGTCGATTTTGCGGCCAGCCAGGGCATTGGAAAGGACCCAGAGGTCAAGTTTGGTAACAATATGAAGACCATGAGAACGAGGAAGAAAAAAATGGGTGATAAAATAGTGTAGGGTGCGAAGTGTGGGGTTCAGATAAGAAGAAGTGATGACTTCATTAGCACCAACTTGTCGCTGAGTGATGCGAGAGTATTCAATCTCATGATCAAAGTCATCGAACAGAAATTCATCCTCATGGGCCAGAGGAAGAGGTCCTCCAATGGGAAGGTTTAATAAAATACCAATAGCCTCAGCAGTGAGTGATATGAAGTATTCATTCACGAGAGTGGTCAGTTTTCTGGTGGTGATTCCTTGACAGTCAAGGTTGGCATAGAAGATCCTGACAGGTAGGGGACAAGCAGCAAGGGGTGGATAGTGGAGAAGGAACTCCCAGCCCAGATTCCTAATGAAAGTTGTAATGTCCATCCCAGAGGCTTTGAATTCATAAAGGTCAAGTGAGATGGGATCAGAAAGTCGGCGGGAAGCAAAGAATTATTTGAATCTATGGTGGTTGAATTCAATGGGCTCTTGAAGGTTCTCCCAACATAGGTGACAATTGCACCGGGAATGTTGGAAGAGGTGAACAGCTCAGTCATGATGTTTGTTAGGAATAGCAGAGCATGATATGGGCGGAGAAGAAAGGGAGGTTATATAGATACTGAGGGGGAAGAATACTAAAAGCTACCAGCAATTACTTAGGAAGAATACTAAGTGCAGCAGTCAACTATAAAATAATTTTCAAAGCAAGGAGAAATTAAATAGCACGTTCATGAATATTCACGCAACAGAACAGAAAATCTAGCATAAATGAAACATTTATTGAACTTTGAAAGGAAGCAATGAAGGATAGAACCTGGTTTAATGCCCATTCTGAATCGAGTGCAGAGACTGTAGTCCAAGTTCATTACAGAGTCTAATGAATCTTTCAGAAGGCAGAGCTTTTGTGAAAATGTCAGCAATTTGAAATTCAGTAGATATGAAATTTATCTCTACAAGACCAGCTTGAACTATATCTCTAATGAAATTATGTTTGACTTAAATATGTTTGCTTTTGCTGTGGTGAACTGGATTCTTAGACATGCAAATGGCACTAGTATTGTCACACATGACAGGGATTTTGTCAAAACACAGGCCATAGTCAGCCAGTTGAGATTTTAACCATAGGATTTGTGTGCAACAACTGCCAACAGCAACATATTCTACTTCTGCTGTTGACAGGGCAACAGATCCTTGTTTTTTACTTGACCAAGACACTAAAGACCCTCCAAAAAATTGACAAGTACCACTGGTACTCTTTCTATTAGTGATACTACCAGCAAAGTCTGAATCAGAGTATCCAATTAAAGACAAACCCTCGGATTTAGAATACCATAATCCAAGATCATGAGTACCTTTTAGATATCAAAAAATTCTTTTTACATCAACCAGGTGACTTTCTTTAGGTTGACTCTGGAATCTAGCGCACAAACAAACACTGAACTGAATATCAGGCCTACTAGTTGTAAGATACAGCAGTGAACCAATCATTCCTCTATACCTTTTTTTCACAAACAGGTTGCCCTTCAATATCATGATCTAGATGAGAATTGGAATCAATAGGTGTTTTACAAGTGTTGACATTCATCAAGTTGAATTTGGTTAGCATAGATTGTAGGTATTTGGTTTGATGAATGAAAATTCCAGTATTAGTTTGATGGATTTGCATACCAAGAAAGAATGTTAATTCACCCATGAGGCTCATTTCAAACTGGTTTTTCATGATAGAGCAGAATTCATCACACATATTGGGGTCAGTGCTGCCAAAGACAATATCATCCACATACACCTGGACTATCAAGGAATGATTATTTTTTTCTTTTAATGAAAAGAGTTTTGTCAACTCCTCCTTGACAGAGCCCTTGAGTTATGAGAAAGGAGGTCCATTTTTCATACCAGGCCCTGGGGGCTTGTTTAAGACCATAAAGAGCTTTTGAAAGTTTAAAAAACGTGGTCTGGAAATTCAAAATCAATCAACCCAGGAGGCTGTTCAACAAACACATCTTCCTTAATTTCACCATTCAGGAATGCACTTTTTACATCCATTTGATAGAGTTTAAAGTTCATAAGACTTGCATAAGCACATAGAAGTCTGATTGATTCTAGCCTAGCTACAGGGGCAAATGTTTCATCATAATCAATTCTCTCCTCTTGACTATATCCTTGGGCAACTAGTCGGGCTTTGTTCTTAATAATAAATCCTAATTCATCAGATTTATTCCTAAATATCCACTTAGTTCCAATGACAGTTATGTTTACAGGTCTAGGAACAAGTTCCCAGACCTTTAGTATGATAAAAATGAGACAATTCTTCTTGCATGGCAAGTAACCACTCTTCATCTAGTATGGCTTCCTTATAGTTTTTAGGTTCGAGTAAGGAAACAAAGGCATACTGACCTGGTGTGTACTTACCTCTTGTGTGGATGGGATCTGATATTTTACCTATAATTTGAGAAGGAGGGTGCCTTCTCTGGATGTGAGCAGGAGCTTCAGGATTCTCAGGGGAATCAGTCTCAGAAGAAGCAGCTAGAGGGACAGATGCCTCTTTGTTAGAGGTTTCACCTGTCTCAAGAGAAGAGCTAAGAGGAAGAAAGTCATAGTTGCTTATATCATAATGCAAGGGTAGTGATGGATGAGATGAGTCGAACTTAATATGAAATGACTCTTCAACTTTCCTTGATTTCTTATTAAAGACTCTATATGCTTGACCTTTACTAGAATAACCAAGAAAGATACCAATGTCAGACTTGGCGTCAAACTTTCCAATTTGATCCTTAGTGTTCAGAATATAGCACTTGGATCCAAATGGATGAAAGTAGGATAGCTTAGGCATTTTTCCATTTAATATTTAATAGGGAGTCTTATTGATAAACTTTCTAATGGTGGTACAATTAAGCACATAGCAAGCAGTGTTTACTGCCTCTGCCCAGAGGAACTTAGGACAATCAAAATCAAGAAGCATAGTTCTGGCATATTCAATAAGGGATCTATTTTTCCTCTCCACAACCTCATTCTGCTGTGGGGTTCTAGGTGCAGAGAATGTGTGAAGGATACCATGGTGGTCACAGAAGCTACAAAAGTAGTCATTGATGAATTCACCACCATTGTCACTTCTAATGCATTTAACAAGACATTCAAATTGGTTTTGCATAAGAATCACAAAAGTTTTAAACTTAGAGAAGGCTTCATCTTTGGAAGACAGAAAGTAAACCCAGGTGAATCAGGAAAAATCATCAACAATTACTAGCACATATGATTTTCCTCCAAGACTTTGAACATTTGTTGGTCCAAATAAGTCCATATGTAATAGATCAAAGGTAGCAGAGGTGGTAACATCATGTTTACTTTTAAATGACTTCTTGCAATGTTTTCCTAAGATGCATGCTTCACAAGTGAAATTATCAAGTGCTTTAATTTGAGGCAGTCCTCTAACCAGATTGAGATTAGAGAGTTTACTCAAGCGAGACAAAC